ATGCAAATATGAAATGACGGCTCGTACAAATGTGGCCGCCAATCTCCACGTGTTTTCATTGCGCTTAAGTATATCGCCAATAGACGTCGTTGAATTTGTGGTGAGTTGACATTACTTAGGAGTGTATATTTATTAGCACTGCACATGGAGGGCCAAGCCCATGCTTGATATAGGTTAACACGGGCTTACATAATGTTGTTTATAACAGGTTACAGGGGTTGTGTTATGAATATAAGTAAATATTTAGTAATTTTGTAAATATTTGAACGTTTTGTAAATATTTGGACAATTTTGTTGTGATTAAAACTTTTCATTTACGATAACTTTATTGAAGGCATTGAAGGGTGTCGACAAATTGTTGATTTTACTTTGAAGGTGTTTTGAGTTGGAAAACATTTGTTGTTTAGTATGTGGGGATTTTTTACTTGTTTTGGGGTTGTTGATTTTATAAAAAAGTAAAATAGTTGCACGATGGATGATGATGCCCTCGATTATTTATTGCGTTGAACATATTACTTCAGTGGAACGAACCGTGAAGGTCCGGGTTCGACTGAACCTTCAGTAACCCATGCTTGTCGTAAGAGGCGACTAACGGGATCGGGTGGTCGGGATCGCCGTCTTGGTTGACACATGTCATCGGTTCCCAATTGCGCAGACCAAAAACAGGATCGATGCAGGACCAGTTAAACTAGTGGTCGACAATATGAGCGTCAGTCCGAGCGACCAGGCTACCTTGACACAATGTCACAATATACACTCGTGGCGATATATTGAAGTTATTGCACTTACAACACATGAACGTGTGTTAGGGTGCGAGTGTATGTAGTTCCTGGACCTAACCCGAACTAATGTGGGTTTTATAGTGCTACCATATACCTAGCTACCACGCCACAACTTATCATGGATAGCCCACCCAAACACTGTATACTGTCCCCGGTTCGTTTCCCTACCTATTAATGCCAGGTATCAGAGTGGGTAACAGCATGTGCAAGCTTTTACGTTTTCTGGTTAAAGCGGCTTGGGATCGAACCTCAAATTATTCGCTCTCCGGGCAGACACTATACCCATTGGACCAAGTATATACTGAGAGCATAGCATAGCATAGCATAGCATAGCGCAGCGCAACACAGCACAGCATAGCACGGGATCGCTGACTTGATTGACACATGTCATCGTATCCCAGTTGCGCAGATCGATGCTCATTCTGTTGATCACTGGATTATCTGGTCCAGACTCGATTATTTAAAAACCGCCGACATGTAGATGGATTATTGCTGAGTGCGGCATTAAACAACAAACAAGCCATAGCATAGCATAGCATAGCATAGCGATATATCCGGTCAATCATTGTGGAAGAAGGTGTGAGTCAGTACTCTGTGATTCGCTAATCTGGAATAGTGGTGATTTCTGAATAAACGATGTTCCGCTCTGGTCAGCGTGATACCAATTCAACGCCCATTAGCCCAGTAAAGTGTACGATTATTGCGCAGGACAGATTTTTCGATTCCGCAAAATTGTACAATATGTGAAACTCATTATCTGTATTTAACACAATGATACACATGAGTTAAATACAGAGTATAAGCCGGTAACACCAGATAATACCATGTTAACTGGTAAATTATTAATAGTATAATAAAAACTCTCAAATAACATTATGCTCCAAATCAATGTTCTTTCATGACAACAAAAGAAACGACGTTTTATACAGGGTTCATCGCTGGATTTCATGACTGACAGGACAATAAAAAGATAGTTTTATTCGACAATAAACCTGAATTCTCGAATGTGTTTTTTTACGTATAAAATATACAGGATGGAGCTGCAGCTGTTCGTACGAACACTTTCGCCGTGCCCTCAAGATGATGAGAACGTGCACCGATTGCCCTCATATGAAGCCATGCATGAACTCAACGAGTTACCTCCCTTTCACGACAACCATTGGGTAAATGGAATCGGTCAGGCGAGGTTGACTGATTATAATTATCACAATAAACTCGCAACAAGGACAACTGTTGTTTGTAGTTCCGATTCCGGGGATAACACGCAACCTACTTGAAAATATCCCGTGGGTGTCTATATGGGTGGGGAAATGGGTTAATGGGTCATCGAGTCAACGCGAAGTTGATTGTACATGGTTGGGGCTCGGACGTTTGAAGACTGGCTTCTGGAAGCTGTGAATAATATTGTCACACCTGCGCGCCTTCGCCATAAACTGTAACAGTGTTATATCATAGCCGGTGCCATGTTTAGTGTAGAAAGCTGTTGTGAGACAACTCACACAATAGAGTCGTTCAAGCACGGTTAAACGGTTGTTGACAAAGTCGGTAACGGCTAAATAAAAATGTTTTGAAGAAAATGTATGTGTTATTATCCATGCTTGTGTTAAGTGTGTTGAGTTGTGTGTTTGCCGTGGAACTTCCCTTTCATATTGACCTCATTAATTAGGAGTCTAACCGTCCGTAATAACGAGGTAAATTTCTCCCAAGTGAATATATCATGTTCATATGATGATTTGTTGTGTTCATAGACGATGTGTTGTAATGACTGTTTCCACACACGAATGTCGGACAGACAAACACGTGCTTGTTACCTGACCGAGATATAGATCCGTGCGTGCTAAAGCTGCCGTCTATTTCCCAACTTTTATAATCCTGTAACTGTCGACAAGTTACAGAAGAGTGCTTCCTGCACTGCTTTAAGGTGCCGACGACTAACAACCCACGTCTTCACAGAGCTGTGTTGCATAGGGTACTGAAGAGATGTACTCTCATTAATGATAAAATTAACGATAATTTCTTCTCAACATATGGTTAGAGAGCTATCAGATCTGGGATCACAATCAACAATCTAGACTTGAACTCCCGACCACGTACAGCGGATCCTGTCACGGCTACATACGTGACGTAAATCAGCAACGCGTAGTTTCTCAACACACAAACCGATTGCAACTGCGACATTTGACGTTGTCGCAGAGCGTGTGACCGTCACTGCTGACCCCGGTAGTGATATAGGTCCGGCTTATGTCCTCACTATCACCGAGACAAGAATATACTGCAACCCGTCTTCAGTCCAACCGTATTCTGTGTCACGTACTACTCAATGTCGCAGTGTTGGAAACCGTTAACAATGGGTCCGATTAAATTCAACATCAGGCAGGTTTCAATGAACTTTTTTTCAGTCTGAAAAAAAATCTTCTTCCTTTTATCTTTTTCCAAGAATGAGAGAGTATCTCGTATTTCCTTAAACGACATTTAGTTAATATTTGTTTTACTTGTGTATTTTCACGACGAGACCGCTAAAAACCTTTTGGTTTATTGCAATTAAACAGCAAAGCGTTTTAAAGGTTAAGATCGTGATGAGAAAGGGTAGTACCCCACATATTCATTACGTTCGTGCCCCGCTTGGACAAGAATAGCTTGGTTAATCTATTCACAGCACAGCCGTAATGAATGTATGAACACATGAACACAGTACATCGGATCATAAGGTCAGAGAATGGCGCTGACTAGATTATTCAATAACATTTAACATTTTTTTAAAAGATATAAAGTTTTTCTTGTAAAACCCATTTCTAACTGTACTGACTGCAGCCACGTGTGTTTAAAAAACGGCATAAGTTTGACGTTATACGTCATCATTTACGTACAAGGCACTTTCTGAAAGCTATGTGTTTGAATATTTGGCAAGTGGTGATACCAAAGAGCAGCAAATGTCAAATGTTTAAGTACACAGATTTCAAACGTAGGACAAACCATCCTAGGACTAGACATAATTGATTGAAATTATCCGTAGGCTGTGCTGGTAATAAAGGACTTTAATAAACAGTGATTTGGTTCAAGTGGTCGAATCCGCTAAATGTAATACACTAAGCAACCTATGTTTAATAATTGGATGCGATGTCTATCACGCTTCAAGTAAAAAGTCGGCGTAGTATAACACGTGCTCATTGCCTGTAGCAGCGTGTCAATTGTGACAGATGTGTCATAATATTGTACATTTCACCTCGATCCGGTTCACTAAACAGAGCTAGTGAGTATTTTGACACCTTAACTACATATTTGTTGTGCTTAGGTAATTTTTCATGGATTTACTTTGACATGTTTTGACTCATGTAAATTATTCAAAATCAGTTTTGGTTTTCAAATTGGAGCTAAAATGGTAGTCATTTTATTTGAAATTTCATTTCTTCGAGATCTGAGAGGTTTCATTGTCTGGTAGAAATGACCAACTCGGAAATATTGATGATTATTTCGAAAGTATTTCCGATATGAAATAATCTGTGACGTAATCCACAGTACATCAAGCAAATATGTTTCTGGATATCACAAGTAACATAACTTCCAAACAGCTCACGTGAATTAAATTTCTCGAGAATCAAGATAATTTCTTCCCCAACAAACCCAACCCTACCCACCATATAAATGACTTAAATTATTTATTTATTATTAATAATGTGTTTGAGATTTAGTCATATCTTCATCCTGTGTACGACACAGGTTTGTTTAAGTGGGAAGAGATTCAACCACTACCACGTACATACTCGGTGTATTAAACTTCATAAAGAATTGAAAGGAGGCGCTCTAGCGAGTTTATCGTGCTCATGACAAACTCACCTCCAGCCACCACGAAACAAACCCCCGGCATTTATGAATGAGCTCCTATCGTAGCAAGCCCATATTTGTCAGCGGTAGGCGTGCTGCAGCTTCGCACAGTGGGCGGGGCTTAAGCTAAGGAACGGTAACTCTAACTGCCGCCTTTGAACACCTGTTATCTCAACTTCAAATTACTTTGCTGTAATTCCGAAGTCTGATAATTTGGATGGAAATGAGTAGCTGGAATAATCATATGATCACATCCTGGACAAGCTTATTGGTTTGCGAGTGCAGGTTGTGTTTAGAGAGAACGCCCCCGCAAGCCCGTGTTTATCAACAGCCTGACATGACTAACTGAGCCTCGTTCTGGTTTGACAGCCTCGTTCTGGTTTGACAGCCTCGTTTCGTCAAATAAAACTTGCCACAAAGCCCCGCGACTTGTCAATTCAAAGTCAGATACGATGGGATGAGAACGCTTTCTCACTAACACACGGACTTACCATTACTTACAAGGTAGGTGTCGTCAGCCTATCTAGATAGTTAAATGAGATATTCTGTTACGTCAACTACCGCCGGTTCTCACATGCCTGTTGCTGGCTCTTATGATACGCTGTTACAATGGTGAATTTTCATAACTTTACTAACTTTTAAACAGTTATACCACCATTTAATATTATCTGTACCTTTTTTTCAATCTAGGATGTATTTTGTGTCGTTATGATTCCTCGTAAATAATATACACAGTCAACAGCCCCATACATCGATAAACAAACTGAAAGTAGACTTGTATTACCTCCATGCATATATGTGGGCATCGTTTTCTACTAAGTAGTTTATTTTATAATCGTTAACGGTATATTGTGTATAACTACATACACATGAATCTAACAAGACAGACAGTGTTTAAAAGTGCATGTGTACATATACCTTGCTTGACTATAATATGAATACAGAACACGTGTGACTAACATGCTAGCTTTACATACCCTACGTGTACTTACACAGATCGCGTCTACCGTTATCTGTACACACAGAATTGGCTGGACCCGTCCGGTCATATTATTCTTATGTATTTCTTGTACCGTTATGTGTATACATAAACATCACGCCTACCGGTATCTGTATATTCATTCACTATGCGCCAACGAATTATATAAGTTTACACAAATAAGCTTTTACTATTTTTGCAAATATACTGACATCGATATTTCATTTTGTGTTTTGTTTGATATACCGAATTTTAATGTTAAAAGTGAGCGAGTATGTTTTTACCTAGACTAGGATTTACGCCTCTTTTAGCAATTAATATTACCGAAATATCGTAATTTCGGAATGCTAGACCGAAGATTAAAGTGAACGTCTGTTTTAAATGCTGTTCTTGTCTAGCCTGTCTACGTATATATTTGTGTCGACACGAACCTACCCGAAGTTTCGTAACAGCAATCAGTCTACAGGCGGAGCTTCCTATATTCTCTATCAGATTCATACAAAGACTCCACCCTTACACGTAGATTAGGTTATAAATAAACGGATAGTTTATAAATAAACGGACTGTCTATCGGCTATTGTCACTGCTGTGAGTCCAACCTAGCAATTAGGACAGCATCGATAACTTGTGCACATACTAGTATACGCTACAGTGAATATGTATGATAAGAATACAGTTATGCTCTACTTTGAATAAACCTAACATACAACAGGAACCCACATGCAGGATCCCTCCCAACAAAGGCATAACACTCGCCTTTCTAAACTTTTTCAACTAAATGTCAGAGTTGAAACTAACGATCGTAGCTATTTAAGATCTCAGAGCAGCACCTGTTTTCCACTTTCTCTAATATTCCCAGCATTAGCCCGTGAGACCGGGGATATATAAACAATAGATCTTTGTCGCTGTAATCGGTCACAGACTCAAATACACCGCCCACACAGTCGAGCTTGGGACATTCCGCAGTTACCTCCCTTTGCGCCAGTGATTCAAGTTGAACATGAGTGTGGGCCAAATTTCCCAGGTTATATTTTTAGAACACCGTGTCATGTGTCGCCAGGACAGTCGTATCACGTTACCATAGATGTGGAGCCGGGGCGTCATGCACGTATACCTATGTTCGATGTACAGGCAGCATGTGCCAACCCCCACACAGCTCTTACAAAGACTGTCTATATACACAGTACTAAGACATCGACAGGATAACAAAGATGATTATCTTTTGAACAGATTTAATGTTTTAAATTATAAAGTTCAAATTGAACAGAGTGTAAACTCAATTTTCTTCTTCAAGCTTTTGTAGTTACTGTTGACAACCCTCATCTCCAACCCGCTCAATTAAACATACAACATTCACGGACAAGATGTTTTTATCTGAAGACTAAATGTTAATGTCAGGTTTCGTATCGACATAATTTATGTGATCTTTAATGAGATTTAAATTTGAATTAAAGTCCAATATTTTTATAAGGAAATCTTTCCTTTCTAGTTCCCGGATCTCATAATTCACAAGGATGTATACAGAATCGGGAGAACTTCATTTCCGTGATCCCTTCACTGAAGACCAGACGGTCCCAACGTACCAGCAAACCCTTGAAGTTGCCGGCATCCCTTATCTGGTCACATTTGATGACATGCCATCAAGATTAAAGCCAGGATCCGCCAGCACCTCTGAAGAAGTGTTATCCTGGCTGAGCCAAGAATCCTTGGAGATGTATTCGGACACACCGGAAAAACATCATTCCCCACTTGGAAAACATGCCTGCTCCATGGATCAAGACCTCTTTTCTGAGGGTTCTTCCTTCAATAGTCTCTCACAAGCTTCATCTCAAGGTGACTCGTCCGATATGTATTCTGCCTCACAGTCCGTTCTCAATGGGTCTCCCGTCTACACCGATCTTAGTGCCATGTCACTATCGTCCAGTTTGCCATATGGTCAACGATCTCCATCTGACCACCTCGATGCCTTCGGTTCCTCCCCGATGATCGGTTCCTATCCCTACCAGGACCACGCCCCTACTCCTTCCTCCCTTCCTGTCTCACCGCCCAGCTACAAGGAGACCATTGCACACCGCCGCCTGACGTCACGTGGACCAGGGTACTCCACAACGTTGGATGACGTCTTCAAGGCCATTGCCCATTTGGAAGATGAAGAAGGTACGGGACTGATTTATGTAGATTATATGAGTGAGTGAGTTTAGTTACGCCGCTTTTAGCAATATTCCAGCAATATCTGGCGGGGGACACCAGAAATGGGCGTACATTATGTACATTTTATCAATATATTATTATTTCATTATTTTGATTCATTTTCTATCAATAACGTCACACATCATGTTTATATTTTATCTGTTATTGGTAAATATGAAATATAATGACAAGAATTGATAACACATGTAACCACTTTAGTAGGTCATGTTTACATTATTTTGTTCTGTTTTTTTTCACAGCTAAGGGTCGGGGATCGCCAATATCCTATGACTGTGTTCCCCAGACGAGCCACCCCAACCACGCCCACACGAGCAGCAGCCCCGCCCCTAGTCCCACCCTGAGTCGCTGCACCCCCAGTCCACAGGTGCCAGGTGAGTTGCTTGAATAGAAGGTGCAGCTGGTTTATCGTTAGTGTTGGTGAACCAGTGAGTCGAATATATCATAAATATGACTAGGTTTGTAAACAGCATGAGTATATCAAAAATACATTATTCGGGATATCTGTACGTCATGATTTTACAATATTCGATATTTTTCGGTTAATTATGAAAGTATTACTAATACCACTGAATGGAATTATCTGGCTCTGGGCAAACACGCTTTTAACGGCACATCACTGTGATAAACAACATGACCGTGTTGAACTATATGACGAATAAACAATATGCTTGCTGTATTTAACATGGCTTGTGATTATTTTCCAGCGCCCCCAAAAGCAAAACCTTCAGTATTTGACCCAGAAGATCTGCGGAAGAAGGCAAAGGGCGTTCTTGAGTGTAAGTAGTAATTTATATCGAATCCCCATTGTTCCAAATCCTTATTCACTGAGCATTCTACCAAAGCAACCATATCTGTAGTTAATGTAAACCTTACATGATTATTGGCTTCCAAATGGCTGTGTTCTTAGGTCTAAAAAGTCCAAAACTTGCCCTTCCCTAATCTCAGTCTGTTTGCCTTGGGTTAAAGTCCCAGATTTACCCTATATATTTTAACCTATTGTTTAGCACGCTGGTCGATTATTCTGAATTCAGAAAACTAACTCGGATTGAAGAACTTATGTTTCTTCAATGGTATTTCGTGGCTTCGAATCCCAGAGGCTCCCCGATTCCGAGGCTTGTTAAACACGGTAATTTGGTATGTGTATTTATATATACATATTTTGATTCCAGTGACGGGCCAGGTTCAGCTGTGGCAGTTCTTGCTGGAGTTGCTGACAGACAGCAACAACGACTCGTTCATCCGGTGGGAGGGAGAAGATGGAGAGTTCAGAATGGTTGACCACGATGAAGTTGCCAGACGTTGGGGGAAGCGGAAAAATAAGAACACTATGACTTATGATAAACTCAGTCGGGCAATGCGTTTCTACTACGACAAGAAAATTCTGACCAAAGTTCACGGGAGACGATACACTTATAAGTTTCACTTCGATATCATCATGAAGACTCAGAGAGGGTGCGTCAACTCCGTCCCAACCAAGGATACTCAAAAACTGTTAGCAATGGCCAACTTCTTTGTACCTTCTCCATGTGATTCTGAGAGGAGCTATTCTGCCCCTTCACCGGTTGACCCGGAAGTGCTGCCATCTTCATTCGGATCTCAGCCCCCAACGCCTCCTGAGTACAGAAACGAGGGGTACAGTCATGACGCCATGTTTCAAAGGCATGACGTCACCAGAGAATTGAATGACGTCACGGCACAATTACATGACGTCACATCATGGACCGACAGCCCACCATCACTTCCTCAGTATTCGTGTCAGCCCGACCCAACTCAAAGCCAATATTGCTCAAACATGTCTTCATATCAGAACGGAAATTGGTACGACACTACAAACTTTAACGGGTATTGAAGTCGTAGCGGTGCTATGCTGACGTTCTATTCACGAAACTCATTCTATTTGTGTTCAAGCGACGATTCAGAGGGATGTGATCCAAGGGACAGTTACGGTAACATCGCAGTAGACCCTATTCGCACCTTGAACCATATGCATGGGTTTATTTGTGATGGTCAAGGGGACCAATCATTATATGAACATTTAAAACGTGAATTACGAATAGTTTTATATTTTTCTCATGAAAATATTTATTTACATCTCTTGAGAGCCGATATTTCACGTCTTTCTTAAAAATTAGTCTTATCAAGCTATGCAGTTCGTATTATATAACTAGCGATAAAGCAGATATCCTATTGTTAAAGTATAGTGCTAAATCGTGCTATTTTACAGAAAAGTTCCATGTATTGCTGAATACTGTTATTATTATGCAGCATATTGATATATAAAATCTTCGTTACTTGTTTGTATATACTGTTTGCATTTGTAAGATATTTGCACAGGCGGGCCTGTGGAAAGTTGTGATATTTTGTTATATTTTTATATATCTTTTGCTTGTAACAAATTCATGTGAATGAGTGTTCAGGAATCATTCATAACCATATTCTCCCTATCACATTCCGCTAAATTCTTGACGGGCTAAAATTTAACATAATATAACCATTTTCTTTTCAGATCGAATTCGTAAAATGGAGCTTTAGATTTTCTTTAATTTATTAAACTGAAATTACAAAATAGAATCACCTCGTAAATCAAAAACGGTAAATATTCAATGAATATATTATTTTTATTATTTTCTTTCTTTGGATTTTACCATTTAATATTTCAATAAAGCAGTAACGTATTAAATCATTTTTTATCTATTGGTTATTATAACTACATGAAATATATTTGCAACAAACTTAGGTTTACTTGAGAAAAAGGTTTAGAAAACCAAGGGTAATATTTATTGCAATGCTTGACTCATTTGACATGTTTTATATGTTTCAAGATGGCGCTGGTTTTCGCCATTAAATCAGTTTCACATATGATCTCATCCCTAATTTTCTCTTCAGTGGAAAAATAGTTTATGAAGTACATGTGTATGTAGTTTAAAACCCTTCCCAGTTTATTCAACGCTTGTTGAACCCCCACCCCCGAAATGCGTGGAGGCAAATGGAAATATCACGTGAATCCCACTCCCAGCAAATAATTACAAAACGTTTTATTTACATTTGTAATAAAACTGAACAAACATAAGGAAATGCAAATTACAAATGTCATAACTGGAATTGTTTTAATCAGACTCTAAATTTTAATTAGATTGTAACTTTACATTTACGTCTTAAATTAACCACGATCTTTCTTTACTAAATGTATACTGTAGTTTTGAATTAAATAAAAAGAAAAGCATGTATCAAGTTCAAGAATGACTGCTTGAAGTCATGGTCTTACCTTTTTGATATGGTAATAATATTTATTTTCCACTTTCCGTGAACACTTTCCCATGTTCTTTTGTCTGTTCACCCACTGTCAACCATCGTCATTGTGTGAGTGTGACTGCGTTTGCTATGTTGTGTCCAGCGAGAATGAACAATCGTTACAGCCATTGTATATATGTATACTTGAATATGAAATATATTTTATAAATAAACATATTTTAAATTTATGAATGTTTATGTTTTGAGTTTCCATTCCAGTTAGTAATCATACCCAGCTGGTCGTTCAGTTTGTTACTGTTTTCGTTTTTGAGGTAATTTTCAATTTTATCGGGTTTTAATTTAAGTGAGGGTCACAGTTGATGGTCGGTGTCAATTGTAGCATTTTCAGTCTAGCACACGTCAAGTATGGTAAATAAGGAAATATAAGGTTTGATATTCACCGCGGGCAATCCTTAAATGTCATGAAATTACAAATATCAATTGACTGAATTCATATTTCCTCTTAACAGAAAAAAAAGAAAACTTTCACTAAATTATCCTGGGACATAAACACCAGAACATGTTTACAATTCAATAACAACACATGATATGATATTGTCAAGGGCACATAGAATGTTATCCTAATACAATTGTTGTCCCAAGAAATATAATAAATATTTTGCTTCAGAACATTTAAAACTAAATTGTCTGTCACAAAACTACATTGTGCATTCCGTCTTGAACAAAATGTATTCATGTTCATAGAGAAATATGTAGCTGAAAAATATCCGATCTATGGACAAAATCCAAGCCCCCGAAATCAAATTGATGGTATATATTTATATATATCATTTATATATAATGTAGAATATGATATAAATCATCTTGTAACAATGTAGGTTTAAAGAACACGTTGAATAACAATAATTTGAAACTACAATAAAAACAACATAATTGCTTTACCATCTAAAAAGAGAAACCAATATTAAAATTCTTCCTACCAATATTATGTAAAAGAAATCCTACATTAATGTTTTGATACATAGACGATTTTGTTGGTTTATCTGTTGTGGTAATGCCATGTTGATGTCATCGAGGTGCCAAACCTGGCATATTTGTGTAAGTGGCACAACCATTTTATCAGGTTAAGAGACGTAATTTGACAACGAAAGTCACATGTTCTATTAAAATTCGTCATGATTTGCAAAATATTACTTTGAAAACTATATTGACGGAAACGAAAACTTGTCCTGGTACAACGTGGTATTTTTGTTTGAGAGATATTTTTGTAATTTCTATCGATTTCAGTATTTCACTAAAAACATCACAATACGTTAAAATTAAAGTTAAACATTGCGATAATATACATTACTCCAAGCCTGTGAAACAACACACGCAATACTGGAAGGCTGTCTGTTAGATTAACTCAAGTGATGAAAACATCGGGCGTGTGTTTCTTTACATGTTTCCAGGAGTACCAATAGTTTGTAACGCTGTATAATAACGAGAGGTAGTGTTGACATATTTTTTGGTAATTCTTGATTTACAGGATCATTTTGTGAGCACAAGGGCAAATATAAATAGCTTTCAGGTTATTATTTTCGTTCTTAAACAGCTGAACATGTCGTGTGTGCGCCGGTGGTTAAAGCTTGCCTCGACATTTGAACAGTTACTGTGTATTTCAACATGTAGTGTCAGCTGTTGCATGCTCTTTTCAGGCTCAAATATAATTTACATTCAGACAAAACATGAGCCATTTAGATTTTTCCAAGTTCTGTACGGTTATCAGATTCCGTAACCCAAATTAAAAATCGTCTCACGTTACAAAAGACACACACCTCGTCTGTAATTGACGACTCACACTGAACACATGTATTTACAATTATAACTGAATCGCCGGCTAAGCATCCACCCCTGCAGATGAAGCTGGTATCACTCTGAATGTGGATACACTGGTAGAAATATTCACCCTGTTTTCTGCGGTTTATGACTAACCGGCGAGGCATTTCCTATGCGTGTCATTCAAATGATCAGTACCCCCTTGTATGATTCTCAATGTAATATATGTATATATAGTCCCCATATGGCAAGTATTCATGTACATAGGGATGGCTACATCCGTTCACCTGGAAAATGTTTTTTTAAAATATCATTTATAACTAGAATTTCTTTGTAATCAAATCGAGCACACTGTCAGCTGAACCTTTGTTAACTGTCATTTAACTTTAAGCAAATAGAAAACTATAAGCAGAGCTGTAAAACGTGTTGAGTGATACGCTCTATAACTTGTTATGACAATATGAACGGCGGGGAAAGTTTTATGGATATCGTCTTCTTTATTACAATGTATGGGGCGTTTCGGTGTAGCTGCTAACACCGATGTGAAGCAAGTGGTGTACAATACTGCAGGAAAGGCTTATACATGAGTCAGGTTTGTACAGTAAATTCATTGACGTTTACACAATTGATCCGGTTGATGTCCAAAGGTAAATAATGTTTATAGCACACAAGCAGAAATAATTAGGGAGGAATTATTAAATGTGCTTGTGTCTGTGTATGTGGGGGGAGCTTGGTTGGTTGCTGTGTGTGTGTGGGGTGGGGGGGTGGGGGTGGGGCAGTGATAGTCATCTTTTGACATGAATGACTTCTAATAGTTTCCCGATCTTGTATTGGGTGTTATTGCTGGTGAGTACGTTGATGCTGTCCCAAAGCATGTTGTGGTCTGGATGAACTTTCCCCGTCGTTCACCACACCAACTTCTAACTGCCACTCGAAGAAGTTATGGGTAATATAAGCTATTGAGTGTCATCTACTGATTGGATTGTCTTTAACAGGTACCGAGTATGTACCCATGTCCAATGGTTTCTAGAAACGCAACAACCACGAAATGGCTGTACAACTCCATGTACAGAAATCATTTATGTGATATTTATACTAACGGGAATATACTTGTCATCTGAATGGCAATGCTGTTAGTTACGCGTTTGGTACTGGGTCGGGTTAGTTTAAATAACAAAGGACAAGATGTTACATCGGATAATTATTACATATAACAAGGCGTTGAATATTACAATGTACGTTGGATATTATACTCTTAATTTATTGAATGGAATCTAATGCGGTTGTTTACGTAATTAAAGTATTATGCAGAGTTCTCAGCTCAATCACTAGGAAATGAAAAGTCTGTAAAATAGCATGCATTTAAAAAAACCCAACAGTACCAAATTATAGGACGTCGGTTATAATGTTGAAAAGTCTTATGAAGAAAGGATAATAACTGGGAGATTGATGACGGAAAGATCAGGTCACATATTAATCGTCCTCAATCGTAATATGATATGCAGGTGTTCAAGCATCCATAAATCGACATAGTTATTACATTCTATCCTGCAGCCAAGACAATGGTATGGTGTGCGAGTTATCAGTTGAACCGTTGTATTCAAAGTATTTGATGTATTAGTCACAGGAAGACATGATTTGTTAAAAATATCAGATATATATATAAGATATAAAGTAAAATGGATATTTCAAGAGAAAAATGACGAAAGTCATATCTATCAGTTTTCAAATGTACAACGTAAACTGTCGAGCAAAGGGAAGTATGGACATTAAATGAGACAAATCAATGCAAACAGTGAATGAACGCTGTTTTATTCTGCGTTTAACCTAAATACAGTGGTATTATGACGGGGAGAACTACTGGAAATTTAACCTTTATCTTCGGCGGAAAAACAACTCAATGAAAACTGTATCCGCTGTTACGCCCCAGTATATCATGTGAAGAACATTAAAAAAAACAATTATAAATCTTGTATCAGTTATAATCTACGGGTGAAAATCAAATCTGGCATTTCTATGACATCATATCGGAAGGGGGTGTATTATTTAGTGTAGATCTTAATTAGAGACCACTTAATCAGAGGCCTTTGTGACGTCTCATTTAAATGCATGGCCTGGATTCAGGATTATGTTATTGGACATTCTGTAAACCCTAAGCGTTATTTGGCAAGGCTTTATACATTATTTTAATGATTGGTTTACAGGGCCTTGTGCATGATGCTACGAAGTGTTTTACAAGACCTTATGCATGACGTTAAGAATTGTTTACAAGACCTTATGCATGACGTTAAGATGTGTTTTACAAGACCTTATGCATGACGCTAAGAATTGTTTTACAAGACCTTATGCATGACGTTAAGATGTGTTTTACAAGGCCTTATGCATGACGTTAAGAATTGTTTTAAGGGTCTTATGCATGACGTTAAGATGTGTTTTACAGGGCCTTATGCATGACGTTAAGAATTGTTTTAAGGGTCTTATGCATGACGTTAAGATGTGTTTTACAGGGCCTTATGCATGATGCTACGAAGTGTGTTTTACAAGACCTTATGCATGACGCTAAGAATTGTTTTACAAGACCTTATGCATGACGTTAAGATGTGTTTTACAAGGCCTTATGCATGACGTTAAGAATTGTTTTAAGGGTCTTATGCATGACGTTAAGATGTGTTTTACAGGGCCTTATGCATGACGTTAAGAATTGTTTTAAGGGTCTTATGCATGACGTTAAGATGTGTTTTACAGGGCCTTATGCATGATGCTACGAAGTGTGTTTTACAAGACCTTATGCATGACGCTAAGAATTGTTTTACAAGACCTTATGCATGACGTTAAGATGTGTTTTACAAGGCCTTATGCATGACGTTAAGAATTGTTTTAAGGGTCTTATGCATGACGTTAAGATGTGTTTTACAGGGCCTTATGCATGACGTTAAGAATTGTTTTAAGGGTCTTATGCATGACGTTAAGATGTGTTTTACAGGGCCTTATGCATGATGCTACGAAGTGTGTTTTACAAGACCTTATGCATGACGCTAAGAATTGTTTTACAAGACCTTATGCATGACGTTAAGATGTGTTTTACAAGGCCTTATGCATGACGTTAAGAATTGTTTTAAGGGTCTTATGCATGACGTTAAGATGTGTTTTACAGGGCCTTATGCAGGACGTTGAGAATTGTTTTACAAGACCTTTTGCATGGTAAAGTTGCTTGCACTGGCTTCAATCCAATTCCTCAACACGAACCTAAGGAAACAAATCGTTATATTTTTCCAAATACAATTTGTATCTTATGCACGTTTAAAATAATGAAAACATACATGCTTATCGAAACAAGTACATCTATTTCACATGTTTTGCTACTATTTCAGCACTAGCATAGCGTCACTGGGCACAAGTGTAGCTAGAC